GTCTTTCTTTTACTTTCCAACTTTAAGTACTTTAGTGAGCCCCAAGAATGCATAGCCCACCACTTCCACCCAGTTATAAAGAAAATTAATCCTTCCACCAATGGCAGAGAATCACTTAATGGAACCAGAACCATAATACATCACTAAATAAGGCTTCACTCCTTTGCTCCCCTGCACTCAAAACTGAGGTGCAGATGCATTTCTACACTTTCAAATGAACACTTGGGAACTTTTGCTGAATGCTTACACCAAGTAAAAATAAGGGTTTCCTATTTTAAAAGTCATTCTCTATGTGCCTGTATTCCTTAGAGGGCTGCCTTTTCCCCCTGGAGTATATTTTGCAGGGGGAATCATTACCGCAACAATGTTATCCCAAAAGAGATCACGTATAAGACAAAAGCAGGTATAAAAATCACATTCCCACTAAAACAGTTCAAAATCATATATTAGGCTTTAAAAGGAGGCAGCTTCAAATCTAGGTTTGAAAAGCCTTTAGACACACTAAAGATTTGTCCCAGATCACATCTGACATCTATTTCTCTAGGATCATAACAAAAGGAGTGATAAATTAATTCAAATGGCCTATTTTACATACTTGAAGGATACTTCTATTGCCACATAGAGCCATTTCGAATAGGACAGAGTCACATAATGAAACTTCCTTTGCACATTCTTCTGAACAAGCACTCAAGATAACCAAACCCCTTACTTTCATTGTAAAATTACTGTTTCTCATTTGCAATCAGGGTCTCCCAGATTATGACATGCGACCCTAAAAATAGGAGAACTTAAAAGTTAGTTTAAATCTAAAACTTAGACCCAGAGCTCCATTTTTAGACGCACCCTTTAATTTCTTGGTGTTGTCTACATTTTACTTAAACTTAAATTTAGCAAAGTAATTTTAGCTCACCCTCCTTCACTACCTTCACTAGACTTTGCAAGGTTACAAACACGAAGCATTCAAGCCTCTCTCTTTTTAATATGAAAATGTTTTAAATAAAAGATAGAGTGAAAAGAGGAAGATCCCTCTTTTAACTTTAACTTTTTTAGCTATGTTGAAGAACTGGTTCAGGTGACAGCCCAGCCATTGGAAAACTCCTGTTGTTGTTTGTTTACAAAATAACTGCTTTCAGTCAATCACCGTGAGAAGTCCGCACACTGACAATGCATCATGCACAGCTAATTAACTGACCCCTAATAAGGGTGTGGGAAACACCAGGGAGAATGCTATCATGCAAGGAACAGCAACAAGATGGAGGGGTGGCTGGTCACTGCCGCGCAGGAGCATCCCCAAATATCGCAGTGATTTTCAGAGTTTTCAAAAAGCCCCTACTCACACCACTGCCACCAAGTATCATAATCTTCTCAAACTGCACCCCAGAGATCTGAACGTCTGCCACATCAGCCTATTTTTCGTAAAAATGTTGCTCCTAAGATTCAAATTCAAGGTGTAGAACATTAAACAATAGCTGTATTGTGAAGGACCATGCTCCCTGGGAAAGCCCAAGAATCCTTACACATTGGGGAAAGAAAAAAGAACTCATTTGCCATACTCCTCCTCTCTGAAAACTGCCTCAGACATAAAGGGTAAAGAAGCAGAGAGGTGACAAAAAGAGACCTGCATTCAGAGATCAGCTCTCAACTTAAACTGAGAAATGACCTCCAGCATCACAGAGCTGGGATTTTGCTACCTTGACCAAACTGCCTCCCAGACTCCGTAAGTGGCATTAGAAACGTAGGCGTCTCTGTGCCAACACCTTCGGAATGGAATTCTATGAAATAACAGGCAACATAGGCATTTATTCACCATGACAATGTCTCCCCACCACCTCAGAGCCTATGACTGGAGCTTACTTGCAATCAGTTTTTGCCTGGGAATAGGAAAAGACTTCAGAAACACTAGCTCTTCTGTTTCGAGAAGAAGAAATCCCCCCTTTTATTTATTTTTTGTTTAAAGATAGCAAGAAAAGCAATCAACGCTAATATTAACTTTAGGGGGAAAAAAAAGTGTTGAAAGTTTCCTATTAACCTACTTACAATATGAGAAACATTTAAAATATACATAACATTTAAGATTGTAGAAGAGTATGTAAGTTACAAACTCCTTTTGACATCTTTCAGAGATGCTCTCCTTCTTACTTATGTATCTGGTATTCCATTGGGATCTTAGGTCTTACAACAAATAAAATATCTGATTTTGTAAGATTAAAAAATTCAACAAGGTTTTTCTTTAATATCAAAGCAAAATGTGGAAAGTAGAGGGGGGAATGTTTACACGCAGCTGTGCATGCAGCTGCCTTACACAATCCGTTCAACGGTAAATGCTAATTTTCTAAATTTTAGCTAAAGGATTCGCATCAGATTAAATCACCAATAATTCCTCATGAAATAACAGATAATAATGTGAAATAATGTACTACAACCCTAAATTTTTTTTACATGGAATGAAGTAATTATAAAATGCTACAAAAGAGAAGAAACTGAAATTATAAGTGCTACTGGAATTACATATTCCTTAACATATGTCTCAGGATAGAAAATTTCCAAAAACCATTCACCCAAACCGAAGCTAGGATTCCCAAAAGGCAAACAGCATTTGTGACATGCGTAGCTCCTTTGTAAAACTTGATATATTAGCCACAAGTTTGCATAGCTCACCCTGATTCTGCTAGAATTACAATTTCAATGGTGTAATTAGCTTATTAATAATTTGGCACACGGTGAATTAATTTACATGGTTGGGTTTTTCACAGCGTCTGTTGCCTGAGCCTCCTACGGCTGAAGGCTACGAGCTCTGCCCTGCCCTGGGAGCTGGCACCGGCCGATGCCCGGCAGAGCAAGGGTTAACTGTGAGACTGTGACAGTTCTCCCTTCAGGGGCTCTAAACTACTTGGAAAGAATGGAAAACAGTCAAAAATCGTCCCAAAGGTAAACAAACTCTGTGCCCTATGGATGTCATTCAGGGAAGAATAAAATGTATTTTTATTCACATTGAAAGTTTTCTGAACTACAAAAGCTATGGAGACATGTACAGTGTGAAACCTGTAGCACACAGGAACATGTCATTTTGAAGGATAAAAGAAATTACGTTTAGATCAACAAAGACGTGTATTAAATCCACACCATCATTGAAATTGTTTATTTTATTGGGCAGTTTAGTCTGCTGTTAATAACAGCATTTGTCTTGTACTTAAAAGATAATTAATACCTCTGTGCAACATATCATAGCAATAAAAGGATGATGTATTTCAGACAGAAAGCAGGAAAGGCTAGCTGATTAAAATACAGGCTACGTTTGTTTTTAACATGCCAAGTTTTGCAGCTACGGTGGTAAACTGGGAGCAAATAAACACAACCGCTGCAGGCTGAGGAACCGGAAGGTGAAAACACAGAGCGGGAGAAGAAAGGGACGGCTCCTGGAGCTGAGAGCCGCCCCCAGGGCCGGTGTTGCTGCGCGTGCCGGAGGGCGCCGTCGGGGGTCATTCCACCACCCGGACCAGCGGACAGTGACAGCCCAGCCTCACACCTGGTCCCACTTTAGGCCAAGCGTGAGCTTTACTTCAACCCTGATTGCCATTAAAGACAAGGACAAATAACCTCTTGCCCAGGACCCCAGATGAAGTCCCCGCGGCGTGCTGCCCTGGCCCTTGTCAATTTCGGGGTGCCCCTCCTCTCCAACCGCACCCGACTGCACGCGCCTACCCGGGACCCCGCACTGGTGAGCCGTCCCTCCAGGCGTTGCACGCCCCACCTGTTCGGGCGTCGTCGGAAGGGCCCTGCGGAGCACGCGGCTCGGGCCACCCCGCTACCGTCGTCCCCGCAGCCGACGTCGCCAGCTCGGGGCCGGGGCAGGGCGCCTGGGGCGCGAAACTTACCGAGACGCTGGCGCCGCCGTCGGGGGAGGGCGTTTCCTGCACGTGTATGCCCGCGCGCGTGCCTTGGCGGTGCGCGCCGAGCCGGGTCGCACTAACTCCCTAGGCGCCGACGGGCTCAGCCCATGGTGCGGGCGCCCGGCTCAGGGAGGCCCCGGCTCCCGCCAATCGCCGAGCAGGGCAGCCGCCCCGACGCGCGACTTGCGAACCAGGAGTGCGCGCCGGGGGCGGGGCGGGGGCGCGTGGGCGGGAGTGCACGCGCGTGGCCAGGTGCGCGTGGGTGCGAGCTCACGGGAGTGTCCGAGTGCGCGCGTGTCCGTGTGCGCGTGGGGGTGGGGTGCGCGCGTGTCCTCGGGACCGGGAGCGCGGTCGGCGCGGGCGTATTTGGACACTACGCGCCCTGTCTGCTCGGGTCTAAGACGCTGCTGGAGGCTCCCGGGAGGAAGAGGAGGAGGAGGAGGAGGAAGAGGAGGAGGCGAAGGAGGAGGAAGAGGAGGAGGCGGAGGAGCCGAGGCTGGGACAGGCTGGGACGGCGGGAGGAGAGAGTCCTGGCCCACAGGAAAGGAACCCAGGACGCGACCACTGGAGGGGCGAGGAGCGCGGAGAGGACCAGTGGGGAGGCGAGGAGGGTAGGGGGAGGTGCGGGCGGGGGGCCGCGGGGTGCTCGCTCCTCCAACTCCGGGTCGCTGTTAGTGAGAGTGAAATTTGTCCAGCCTCAGTGAAAACCGTTACAAACATGGAAAATAGTAGAAGTGAAAACGGCTGCGACACTAGACGTTGATGAAATGCCCGCGGACTGCCCTCGATGCCGGTCGGAGTTGGGACGGCGTCGCGCGGAGCTTTGGGAGGGACAGGCGCGGTGCCCGCGCGCCGCGGGCTGTGATGGGGCCGCGGTGGGTCGTGGGAGGAGCCGGATGCGGCCGCCGGGGCGCGGGGATGCCGCGGGGAGCGCGGCCTGACCCGACCGGCGCGCGGTGACAGCCGCCCTCGGGAGCCAGCTGCGCCTGGGAGAAGCGGCCTCCGAAGGGTGCAGCGGGCGGGCTCCGCTCTCCGCCTCCGGGCGCGGGGCTGAGCCCCCTCCGGATGTTTTTGTTTCTACGCGAATCCCGACGTGGACATCCGGCTTACCTGAGCGCAGCTCCTCTTCACTCCTGTCCCGCGGGGGCTGTCACGACCGCCCCAGAGCGATCTCTAGGAACCCGTCCCGGAGCGATCTCTTGCACACTCTCCCCATTCCGACCAAGTGAAAACTACCCATGTCCCTCCCTCTCCAAACTTTAACAGCCAAGAATTTCAGCAAACAGCCAGAAAGAAAGCTAAGTCGTTCCCCCCTCCACTCCACCCCAAGGGAAGGGAGGGAATAAGCACTCCTTTAATTTGAAAAATAATAATTAAAACTCCCTCAACTTTTAAGGCCGAGCAACATAATCTATTAATTGGTCGCTATTAACATGCAGTTTTATTGACCATAGCACACAGAAGTCTGATTGTGAGGGAGGAGTGTTTTCAATGAAAGTGGAGTTATTTTAGCTGCAGACGTGTTTACATTTCTGTGGTTTAGTCTATAACTTTCTCTTTTTCTTGCTTCAGAATTCTGCTCCATGAAGCAAAGCCCTTAGCTCCCAGACATTCCAAAAAGTCTGCCAAAATAATAGAAAAAAAAGAGAGGGAAGAAAAAACACACGGAGACCCCCAAGTCTGGGTCAGGCTCAGGGTTGGATATGGGCAGGGTGAATGTGCCCCCTCCCCACGCACTTTCCAGTTGAGGGAAAAAAACGGGGGGGCTTCAAGGCTCCGTTTCCTGTTTGCTGGGGGACAAAAATAAAATGAACCTGAGCAACTGAGTTTAGAAACCACCTTTTCCAGTACCTATAGGTTCTGACAGGATCTTTAACCCTACAGATGCCAAAATGGGCTCATTAAAATATGAGACCCTAGCCAAGGAAGCTTTTCCCCTGTTAAGGTGGACAGCCTTCGTGAAACTACAAATGCATTCCTAGGAAATTTCTTGAACAAACAGGCACACCATGGTAGTTGGAATACAAGCCCACCTCTCCATAGGTGGCCAAGAAAAGATACCAATAAAAATAAATATTGAAAACAGATTCAATTTCTGACAAGCATGGATCCTTTTTCCCTCTGAGCTACAAAGAACGGAATGCATATTTAAAGGTGGGTATTTAGTAATAGGGTCTTGTCAATTTGTACAATCTGTGCTTGAATCGTCCTTTGCAAAGTCGATTTCATTTCCTTTGGTATTGAATGTGCTCGCTAGTCACACAGAAGTCCCTATACTGCAGTTCACATAGTCTTAAAATCTTAAAAAATATTCTGACTCTCTCCTTAACTACCAAACATATTTTGTTTCCTGTTCTCTCTAATTATTCTCCACATATTCCAGATCCAAGATATTTCACAGAATTTTGAAATCTTCCAGTTAACCACTGATTTTCAAATCTCATCATAGTGAAGTGAACCCTTAATATCTAGGGGAATGCTTTAAAGTAAATAAGTTCTGAACCTATTTAATGAGATCAGTAGCCCACAGGTGAATGACTCTGCTTTTTAATACTTTTAAATATGCTGCCGTTTCTCAATCATCATCACTAGCACTGAATATTATCACATTATAGAACAATGCTGAAAAAAGTATGCGTGCTGATGAACAAAATAACGTTTAACGTTTTAAGAATAATGAACTGCACTTTAATAATAGAAGGAACATGATCTCAAAATGAGCTCAGAAAAATCCCCAATATTTGAAACAATGCTATTTGTGACTCTCCCTCATTACCATCTTCAGTCCCCCCCCCCACAAAAAAAACACTACAGCGTGAAAGAGGGGAGAGAGAGAGAGAGAGAAGGAAAGAGAATTTCTTAAAAGATGAAAGACACATACTGAGCCCATTCATAAAATGTGGGTCATTAACCTTGGAGAATCTCAGTATCCAGAATCCTAGAGTTTTGCACAGGTCGTATGACAACATCTCTTCCAACTTATTGCATCTTGTAATTACAGTTAGGAAGTTCTTTCTGTTGTCCAATCTAATCCCTGCCGGTGACCACAGGCAGCCCTTTAGTCTGCTTCACGATTTAGGTCAAATAGGAGGAAATCCATTTCAATGAATTAAATCAATTAAGTTAACCTGAAAGGCCAAAAGAACACAAGTAAGAGACAACTTCACTTTCTGTCCTGCAGGACAAACATCATAATTCTAATTAAAATGTCATTTAAAAGGAAAGTTTTTATAAAAACGCCACTTGACACGTTCCATAAGAATTAGCATTTTTAAGTATTTCATACATGAGATGGTCTTCTTTTTTATAAAGTTTTGTGGTCGACCTAATTCATTTTAAAATCCCTTTTATCCAAAAGATGTTTTGGATTAATTTAAGTATTTGTTACTGGATAATGTCAAGCTCCTTTTCAATGAAATGTCCTGTGTTGGGTTGTCACACCTGTTAAATATAACCCTCCTTTTCTTTTGATATTCTGAGAAGGGCTTTAAAAGGTTTTCATCCCTCAATATGGAGATTTAATTGCTTTACCTATAATAAAAATAATCCCTATAAAATTCAGATTGTGGATATTTCAAAGCTGAAAGAACTATTGGATTGGGATGTAAAGGTTGCAGTTCAAAAAGTCTTCCACTTTTAATATAACATGCATGGTGTTATGAGTTATAAAATCCTGGTTATCATTTTGGAAGGTCTGGTTTTTGTTGTCCTTGCATGGAGTGTCTTTGAGCTTACTTTATGGCTTAGCAGTTCTGCGTGTGCATGTGTGAAATATGGAAAGGGTGGCATATCCCTCTACAGTAAATGCTCACAAGGGAGGAAGTCTCAGATTCTGTTTTAAAGAAGGTACTGCAGTGAGATTCCTCACACTGACCCATTCATATCTTTGGTGAGTTCAAAACTGGCTTGAAGCCATTCTGAGGATGGTCATGGTTTGAGAAAGGAGATTGCTCTCAGGCTTCAGCCACTACTCCACAATCTCCACCCAATCACCTGGGACCTTCTTTTCATCATGCAAATGGGTCCATCAGGGTGGAAGCTTAGGAGTCATCAGAGGCCCCTGTTCTGTCCCATTCCTAGTTCCACTTTCCCTTATAGCAAATGATTAGAACACGCTTAAGCAACCAGGACATGGAAGCAATGGGAATAAGTGTCAGAACACAACTGTTGGGGGTTCCAAACGGGGCATCCCTGGGTCCCTCTCTCCCTCACTACGTCACTCGTTCACTGATTTCCATCACTATTAAGGAACAGGACAGATGTGTATCCTGTCTTAGGGGAATCTCTAACCTACTACACAAGCATTACTATTATCTTTGATTACTTGCTGCTAAGAAGTCAGTTTTAAGTATTCTTTATCCTTCCAGACAAACTAATTTCATGCAACACTCTCACCCTCTGAAGCACTTTTTAAATCTACGTCAGATGCAGTTTAAGTCTTTAGTACACACAGCAGTTCTCAATAACACGTGGTGACCACAAGCTGCTCCGTAAAATTGCATAATGCATAATTCCTATCAACTTGCATAACACACAAAATAAGTTGATATGAAACACATTGTACATCTGTCAATGAGCTTCGGTGACAAAGGTTATACAAAACAAGTCAGGAGACTCTATTTGTATTTTTAAAGTGGAATTACATAGAGTACAACAGGAGATTTGCTCCAGCTTTTCTGACAATTAGGCGATTGAGTTTTGAACTTCGTACACTATGACACTAAATCTATCGTGAACAATTTTGTCATGTATATTTTCATAACATGATTACTCATGAATGTAAAACTAGTTGCAATTTTAGAAAATTGAGACAATTTATTTTCAGTGAATGTTTGGATCGATAAAGTCACTAGCTGATATGGTTTGGCTGTGTGCCCACCCAAATCCCCCTGAATTCCTACATGTTGTGGGAGGGACCCAAGGGGAGGTAATGGAATCATGGGGGCCAATCTTTCCCGTGCTCTTCTCGTGATAGTGAATAAGTCTCACTAGGTCTGATGGGTTAATCAGGGGTTTCTGCTTTCGCTTCTTCCTTCTTTTTCTCTTGTTGCTGCCATGTAAGAAGTGCCTTTCACCTTCCGCCATGATTCTGAGACCTCCTCAGCCATGTGGAAATGTAAGTCCAATTAAACCTCTTTTTCTTCCCAGTCTCGGGTATGTCTTTAGCAGCAGCATGAAAACAGAATAATATAATAGCATAACAGTACATCAATACAAATAAAAGCGATATCTTAAGTTCTCTTTTGTATCCTAGAATAGTACATTATGATTATTGGATGACCTGATACAATTTAAATGGGTAAAAAGTCCATCACAGATATAATGGGCCAGCAATTATTAGGAATGCATGTGACCAGGGATCCAGCACTTAGCAGCCACATGACTTTGGGCAAGTCATAACCACTGGGTTGGTTGGTTAAGCCTCAATTCTCTTATTTATGTATTAACTGAGGCTCTTGAGGTTGATGACCTCAAATATACTAAGCACAGGACCTTCCAGGGAAGAACTTGGGTTATTCATCTTTGTCTCTACTCTTTGGTGTAGTGACTAATTGATTGATTAAAGGGGAAACTATCGGTGATTTACTTCTCTTTGATAAGCCCTTATGTACACAGTTCTTGTTTTTCTTCAGCAGCACTGCAGCAAGAGGTGTGTCTTCCTGGGATGGGTTCTGCCAACTTTGCATCCTATATCCACCTGGTGTGGGTGGAGAAATACAGTTTATACAGCAGCAGTTTCTGGGCCCTGCCTCCACATCGAAACCACTCTGATGATGAAGCTTCAAAGCTATTGCCGTCATCTGGGTGTCATCACGACCCAGTGAATCAGAATCTCAGGCAACAGGGAGACCATGGCACAGATAGATACATTTGAAACTCCCCCAGGTAGTTGAAATGGACATCCAGGATAGTGGGTTAGAGCGGTTGACAGGATAGCCATTAAATGAATGATGAAAGAATTCTAGAAGCTTCATCTTATCAGACATCTCTGGGAAAGCGTATTGTTGAAATGAACCTCTGGCAGGGCACAGTGGCTCAAACATGTAATCCCAGTGCTTTGGGAGGCCAAGGTGGAAGGGGTTCAAGAGCGACCTGAGAAACATGACAAAACCCCATCTATACAAAACTTTTAAAATTAGTTAGGCATGGTGATGCACAGCTGTGGTCCTGGCTACTGGGAAGGCTGAGGCAGGAAGACAGCTTGAGCCCATGAGCTAAAAAACGTAGTGAGC